TTTCTCTTATCGTTCTATCAATTATTTCAAATTTTCTTAGTTTTTTTAATAGGATACTGTCCGAAATTATATTATAATGTTTGATAACGTATAATTTTTCCAAAATAATATAAACCCTTGCCAACTTTTGTATAAACAAGGCACCACTGAATTGTGTGTCAGCATAATTAAGCTGTCATAGATCGAGATCGACGATTTCGCAATTCAGATTTCTAATCGCGATGAGACGGCACGTGGAACGCGTGTAAGGTCGTCTATGCACGTCGTATCTTCTTTCGCACTTCCCGAGAGGCACCGTTGGACAAAGTCGGTTAACTCTTTCCGAACTCGTAACTGCCTCCTTTATTGGAGATGTAACAACGGGAAGTCAGTTCATCTAGAGTGCACTGAAAATTACTGTGACGATTTTCTTCTCTATTACATATCTTATTTTTCTAGTTTTTCCGAAACCATGTCATTGTAATCAGTATTTAAATAAAGTAAAAAACGTAAGAAATAATTTCGGTATAATTTTTTTTAGTAATCAAGTACTCAGCTAACTGCATTCATATCATATTCGTTTTTTATTAGAAAAAATGTAGATAATATTCGATATCTTTTTTATGCATTTGACATATATTTAAAAAAAATTTTTTTAGATTAAACTTATCTACGATAATTAATATTTTCATTTACGATCAACATTTATATCACAATATTGTCATATTACTCGATGTTATATAAATAATACGTTATAAATAACTGCTTCCTTTAGCTATTAATTAAGTATCGTAATTATAAGGCAACTGACAAACTTCATAAACAGAAGTACCGTTTGATTCTCGGAAATGGAGCCGACAAGAAAGGAAGTAGTATTGACATGAATGAAATCTATGAATGAACAACGTTCAACTGTGTATATCTTAGATCGATGCGGGAAAGTAAATCACATTGACAAGGCGAGGAAGTTTCGCGGATTCGGGAAGCGTACATCACGATCATAAAGTGAACGGACATTACCGCCGTTATTTGCATAACGTTTAAACATCGACCGAACGTCAATACAAGCGTAAATATTATAGTTAACGCGCAAGGCGAACCGCAAGTTAACGCGTTATCGGGCCCACGAAGTTCCCGTCTGGGTCACTAGCGAGCTGTTTAAATGTTTTGCACGCAATTGTGCTCGTGTGCGCGTATCGCCGTCGTTGTAAAGCAGTTTACGCTAATTTAATGTCACGACTTAGGCAAATCGACGGTAACGGTACCGATTGCATCACTCGCCATTTTCTTGGCTATCTTTTCCAGCTAAAGTCAACAAACGCGAATCATATACGAGGGCGGAAGAAATAAGTGTTGGTCCGCAAATATATAATTTTTAATTTGCAGAACAAACGAAACATCGCGTTTGTATCAGGATTGCTCTAATGAGATATTAATCGTCGAACCTACCAAAAAAAAAAAAGAGAAAAAAACCGGAATTTATACTAATGAACAATAACGGTACCAGGAATATTATCTTCGTTATCTTTTGGAGCGTACAAAAAACTGTACGGTACTTACAACGTAAATTGCCAACGACAAATTGAATAATTCGACAAGCATTACGCTAATTCGCTACGATTCATATCGATTTAACATTTCGCCGATGAGGAAAAGTGGAACTAGGTATCAATTAAATTTTGTGATTCGCTATAGAACCCACTCGGATTAACCTGACCATTAGAACACGGAAGAAACATTTTTTTTCATGTTATGAAAAAATTCGGCCGCGAAAGCAATCCACGTGACTCTTTTTAAAAGAAAGTTGTACCGGTTGCGGACGATTACGTGGCGCATGAGCCAGACGAAATACACTCCAGGTTAAGGTTTGTAGGTCAACCTGCGTGGAGATCTTCGTAGTACGTTTGCCAGATTGCGTGCTTTGATTAAGATCGATCCGTACCGTAAATTATCATAAAGACATTATTTCCGACATTCGCTCTCACTTGCAATTATCTACTGCGTTCTCGCGTTCTACAATTCCTTTTTGCGCATAGATTAGCGTCGCAGTAAATTGTACAATGTAACAGAATATGTACAATTTTTTTTAGAAGAAGCACGCAAGAAGAAATTCAAGAAGAAACATCTGCAGAAACTTCTGGGATTAGTGATGCTGCTGAAAGCGAAACTTAGCCTGTTGCTGCAGCTGATAAGCACTCACTTCCAGTTCAAGTTCTTCATCATCGCCATCATCTCGTTGATACTGAACGCTGCCAGATTCTGGATAGAGATCAAAAAGCCTTCCAAAGTTATCTACTACGAGCATGCACAGCATCAGCATCACTACGATCACGACGATCACGGTTACTGGGGAAGATCGTCGAATGAGACGCCTCATGAACTTGCGTACCGCTCTTACGCACCTACGGACTGATATCAAAATCGCATAAATTTGACCGAGGGGACGATCGTTTTGCGCGAGAAAGATCAAAGAAGAACCGAACGATGACGCAAATTTCGTCTCAATATGATTATCGTTTCACCACATCGTTCTTTATTTATTTTATAATTAATCTTTAGTCCAAAAGTCAGGAAATATCTGCGACATGACGTCGATATTTATACATTGTATAGTATTTATTTATTTAATTTATTGCATGCTACGTCGGCATATGTTACACGATCATCTTGAATTTCACTTTAATTAATGATGGATGATCTAAGATTTCTCTGACCTCTAATTATCATATATAAAAATAGTACTCTTTAATCGCCTTAAGTCATACCAAAGTTACTTACGAGTACCTGTTCTATCTCGCCACAAAGAGATTTTCTTAGGGGATCGACTATTTTAATTAAAAGAACATACTATCACTCGTATCGTGACTCAACAAATCGCCTCTCTCTGAATGTTTATTTCATAATATAAATATACATATGTAATAATAGTAAAAAAAATTATACATTCTATTTATAAAAAAAAAATTCTTTGTGAAAGACAATAATAATTTATAATGACAATTTTACAGAAACATGTACGTATTAAAAAATTTTGATAATAAACTGTACGAGTATACGATTTCTCTCGCGTGTGTTCTTTTAAGACATGATTGCAGATGCTATGTTTATCGACGAAGGAAAACGAAAACTCATCACGTTGCTGCAGAGAGAAACTTTGGCGGTTCTGATGCACGAATCACACGACCTTCTTCAGCCGCACCAGTGGACCATCCACTGAAATCTTTGTATTCCTCGTCATAGCACGACAATGCGACTGGAATCCTTAAGGAGCGGCGATACTTTCAGGGTGTTCACCTTGCTACTGATCGTTTCAATGATAAACGCACGATATTTGTGCAATGATTACGGCTCATCGATGCTCCATGAACCGCAGGAAGAAATTTCTTACTAAAGAAACGTGTATTCGACATTTTTTTTAGAAATCTTAAAAATAAAGAAACGCTCTTTCTGTAACTTATATAAGTTTGCAGAAATAAAAATATCCGTTTATTTAATTTTAAAAAAAATGAAGGAGAGCAGAAATTATAGATATGTATACATGAAATAATCTATTGCTTTTTCTTATGAATTTGACGTTATTGAAAATATCTATATTTAACAATAAATTTTATAACTTATTTTCTTTACATGACTTGCTTTTATTTTTGATAGATTAATATCTACAATTATAAAATCACATATTTTCCCCCCATATAGAAATTATTGTTGCCGAGAAACTACTACGTTTTCTTTAGAAAAAATTATTACATGGAAAAGTTTTGCTAAAGCATCTAATTTAGTTAGATATAAATTTAGAAATAATTTTGTTTGGACCACCAAAATAATTATATAGGACGCTCGAACTGGTTGCTATAGAATGTCAATACTTTTTGCAGTATTACTTGTCATGTCTGAATTTCCTACATAATTATTTTGGTAGTTTAATGGATTAATATCTACAACATTATTTTCTAATAAGATCTAAATTTTTAGAAACTCTTCGGCAAAATTTTTCTTTCCGTAAGAGTATCTTTTCATGCACGTTATCGATAACCAAAAGTAGCGATCGTAATGGGATACATTTTCTCATTGATACTACGTATTAAGTATTCATATCCCGAAGAAATGCCGTTCGCGACGCGGCCTTAACGAAGATAAGGCCCGGCTGGGACTGCCCTCGAATTTCGACGGCCAAATTCATGAGAAAGACGTCCCGTCTTCGATTGGAACGCAGCCAATCGCGGAATGGGACTAATGTGTCATGTTTGGGGATAAAATAGGTGACTACGGTATAGAAAGTAAATCCATGAGGTCGAAGAGTTTGACAGAAATTTGAATCGCCACATAAGAATTTCGGCACGTTTATTCGCATGACATGTTATTTATATCCGGCCTTCGAAGTACCATCTGTTTTTTTAGGATCCTCGTAGACGATTCAACATACTTGAAGACTTTTAAATATAATCCTTTCTCAATAGAAGGACCGCTCTGACTGCTAATGTCTTGATAAACTATCAATTATCGTTGTTAATGTTTTGCAAACATATCATCGTATTTCATAATTAAACATAATTATTTTTTAATATACTTAATACACAATTATTTTAAAAAATTTCAAAAACAATTGCACGGAATCATTTGTAATTACTGCATTGGCAAATCCTACTCAAAAATTTAATACTGTACTCAATTAAGTTAACAGCAAAAAAAATTAACTTAATAAATTTAAAAAAATTCTTTTAAATATCATGTACGTGATTTTTTATGCAAAAAAAATCGTTGATGCCACTTCTTTTCGCTGTTAAGATAAATAAAAATTGCCAAATGAGCACATCATCAAGCCGAAAGCATTTGCGGCATTTGCATCGGGCCTTCGAGGATGATATGGACGTCTGAAGATGGTCATTGGCAGACCAAACGTGATGGATTTACTGATTTCAATATACCAAGAATCGACCATTCATACAATATTCAAGATCTTTACGCACAATTCACTATATAACACCCTTCTGCGAATCACATCATCAGTCTTCTCAAGATTTTCGAACACAGAACTACAATAAAACATCGTATTTGTCGAGGAACCAACGGTAGTGACAAGGGACCACCAGCGCTTGAAGAGATAACATAAGAAAACACGCGTATTCCGAGATAATAAAATCATCTCATTGAAATCATGACACGGGAAAAGCTCTTTACCGTGTTGCTTCTCGGTCTTCTCGCGATAGCTCTCAGTTTGCCTCAGCAGCAGAAATCCAAGAGGCCCACTCCAGTATTTAAGGTTTTTAGAAATATCGATATTTTTGTATTCCTCTTCACCAACGAATTCTTCGCGAATTATCGCATACGCGTTTTACGATAATCGAACTTTGCAATCCAATTTTCTAGCAATCTAAAACTGGTGGCTTGTTGCTTCCCGACAACGCAACGCTCATTCGCGAGAATATCGTCGACACCTTTTCGTGCCAGGACAGAATTTACGGTTATTATGCCGACATGGAGAACGAGTGCCAAGTGTTTCACGTGTGTATGCCGCAAACGAGGGGGTCATTCAGATGGAGCTTCATTTGCCCCGGCGAGACAGTTTTCAACCAAGTAAACTAATATAGCATTGTCACAAACGTTTCGATTTACAAAGGGTAAATTCTTCTAACAAGCGACTCAGTACAACACAGTGATCATCTCATCTTTGTTTAACATTGGCGAACAGCAAGGATGTAATGATGCATCGTGTCACATGTGTCTCTTGTTGGAAGGCACCCAAAGTCTTCCTCAGTGCTCGCAAATAATTATTACTCCTAAATGAATTATCGAATTACAATAGGATGATAATTATTTGCGACAATGTATATATAGAAATAAAGTAATTGTCATTTTTAAATCAATATCATTAATTTATAGGCCACGATATCATTTTATTGCGGAACAAAGTTTGATTCTGCGTTTCGACATATTTTTAAAACAAGAAAAAATTAAGAAATATTTCCATACTGATATCAAATACAGTAACAATTTATTTTTTGTTTTAAATAGGGACAGTACAATATTCTGATTCATTTATAGGCAACATTTGTATGTACACAAACGGAAAGCTCGATACCATGCGAGGAATCGGAAAAATATTATGCTTTGAATGAGGATATCGGAAAGGAGGTGGAAGAAGAAGAAGAGGCGGATCAGGACCGAGGGAAGAAAAATGCGACAAAGATTTTGGAACCAGAAGTAGAAACGGTGTCGAAAAAGTCATTCTCGAAAAATTCGAGATTGCTAAGTGAAGAGAGGTCCTTTCGACTTTATTAAAAGAGATATATTTTTTCCTATTTAAAGGAAATCGCTCTATGAAATGTAGTAATTATTATGATTAGCCAATCTTGATTAGAAGAAATTTCAGCTTGTTTCGATCAAGGTTGACTAAACGCTTATTTAGAGTTTAAAGTAACCGTTTATAGATCGCTTATAAACTTGCCTTGTAAAAGCCCTCATAATGACAAATAGTACATAAAACTAAAATTTAAATTATTGTCACACGTACAATGTACAAAATATGTTATTTCAATTATACGATGTGTAAAATAAATTTCTGTACAATACAGTGAAATATGTGTTAAAAGATAAGTTGTAATTATGTGTAAAAATATATTGAACGTTCACACATATGTAATTATTTATCGAGTAAAATAAAAAACGCTAGGAAGAAGCTGAAAATTTCTTTTAACTTGTTGTATTCATACACATATTCCAAAAGAAAGATAATGCACACATTATTATTAAAGAAAGATTTTAAACATTGAGGTAAAAATCATGTAAATCATTTTTTATGACTAATAATATAAGTACAAGCGAAATATATATCTAATACTGATAGATAAAGCGCAAAAAGGCCACGATATGAAAAGGAAAAACGTTACACGATTGTCCCAAGCCTAAAATACGTAAAAAATCGTGACGCTATAACTCGTATACGTATTAAAAACAAATAAAAGAAAGAACTTAACTTAAATAAGTAATATGTACAAAACAAGAAAAAATGTTATTAGCAACACTATCTATTTACAGTGATTGATATGTATCGATATTGGTCCTTTATAAACTTAATAACAAAACGACTAAAAAAATATAAAAAATGCATTAAATGCAATACGTTCTCTGTTGCGATTATAAGTTCCGCTAATGTTATAATATTACGTAGCTTTAGAGTAATGAAACTTAAACTAGAGACACACATGCACACATAAGACAGCTAGAAATAGATCCAAAACCATCATCTGATTCGTTAATCATCGTAAAATTCTCATGAAATCGTACAAGTGTCGCGACGCTGGAAATATTATCCACATATCTCGCGTTTCGTCGTTTTCTATTTGATATCTTTGGATAGCTAGCTATCATGCCTCGAATAACCGAGACCTATTTAACTTTTCGCAATGCCGATAAAATAATAAAACAAACAACAATTATACAGACACACATATTCATATAACAACGTTCTGATGATAAATATTTCTTTCATCTTCGAATTGGCATCAATTCGTAACAGATATATAGATTTAGTACAAAGTTTTTTAAAAAACTGTGTACTAAAATATATTTCTTCTGATATGGAAAATCTCATTTCGGAAATATGATATAGAACGTGCTGCATCCACGATATTAATAAAAAATAATTATTTACTTGATATAATGATTATGATTGTACCTATAACTATTTACATAAATTTATCTGTCAATTCTTTTATTTATATAGTATATATATTTATTAAATGCATCTTAATTTATTTTTTATGCAAATGAGATATATTAAATTTTCTTTTTCTTATGTCGAATTAATTGTGCCATTGTAAAAAATAATATATTTCTTTAATTTTGAATTTAAACAATACACTGTGAATGAAAATTACAGAATATATGGAAAATTGAAATGTAAATGACTTTGTGTGAAGTAACGAAAATACGATGATACCTTTTTGAAAATCTAAAACTACTTTCTACCCTGCATTGTCCTTTTCAAAAAACCATTATTCGAGGTATATAATAAAAAACCTATTTTACGCGTTATATAGGATACAAAATCATATTTCGAAATAGTTTTCGAAATATACTGTACGAACTCGTTGCTTTCAAACTCTTTTTTATATTTTTTGTGTAGATTTTTTTTTAAAGATGCCCCTTTTTTAAACTTTTCTAATTAAAAATTTACATCTACTTGTATCTTAATCTAATAAATAATGTTAGATTTCGAAAGTTACGCTTCGGAATCCATCGTAAGATCCGCCTCAATTTCCTCGGGGCTCCTCAGATCGATCGCAAATCTTTTCCTAGCGGTGTTTACGCTGACTCCGGTCAGCTTTTCCTGAGCCTTTACGGTCTTGGAGTAAACTTCGAAGGCTGCAGCGAGAGCGTATGTCAATTGCCTGGCATAATATTTCGATTCGCAGACAAAACCATGACATTCGAATGGCGAGATTCTCCTGAAGTTCTCCGTCTCGCGAACAACGATCATGGAAAATACTCTAGTGTAAACTAGATCCTGTACTCCGTAGGAGATCGTCTCAATAGGATACATTCTGGATAAATTGCCATCCTGCTTCCTTTTGTCTAGCGGTAGCAAGGCAACTCCCTCCTGAGAGACTACTAGCTTGATAAGAGGCAGCATTGTGTTAGTCGGCAAAGCCTTCGCGGCAGAAACCATATTATCGACGGGCCTTCTTGTGTGCTTGATGCCCCAGAGGCCTCTTGCATCATGGGATCCCAAATATTTCACCTGAAAAGGGTCAATCTAAAAGATTCAAATGCGCAACGGATCTCCTAGGGCTAAAATTCTTGGAACAAAGCTTTGAAATTTTATGCAATCTCCTTTTAACTTTTTAAAAATAATCTTAAACAATTGCAATATCAATCGTGAAAAAATTATGACAAATAGATTTTTTATTTTTAATAAAAAATAGTATTTTATTTTACCTTAAATATTAAAAACATTAATTAATTTTTTAATTTAATACTCCAAAATTTTCACATAAAATCTTTTTCTTTTCTTTTATTTTATTTTTATGTTATGTAAAATAAAAAAAAAATATAAAAGTATATGAATTATACGTGTGTTCATATTCGTTATTGCAGTGTGTATATTCTAATGATTCATATTTAATTGGAACAAATAAAGTGTGAATATTAAGAAAAGTTCAAACTTTCTTATCTCTACTTAAAAATATGAAAATTGTACCTGAAATACTTGCGGCAGATCGGTAGAGCCTTCAAAAACATTATTATCGATAGACAGACGTGACAACTTCGACACGAGATCTTTCTTCTTATCATCAGAAGACACCTTCTCCTTCTTCATCTCTTTTAAAGGCTGGTCTCTCTGTTTCAAATTTATATTTTTTTAACGCGCGGGTCTACTAATGTAATTATTTTAGGATAAAAAATTTAGAACAATCCAGAAGTGATCGTTTGATCAACTAATCTAATCAACTAAAAACGTTTAACGAATAGCAATTTCTCGAAAAGAATGCGAACGCGTCATGAATTTAAATGAAGGTAAAGGAATGGTAGAATAACGGGATAAGTTACAATGCTTCGTACTCTACAAATATTTTATAATAAATGATAATGGAAACGGCAAATCAATCCTATCGCGACAAACAATCCTGAGCGCGTTTTTCTACTTGCGTTCTCCACGAGAGAATCTTAAAACGCTACTCACGGGAACGTTATCGAGCCGGCAGTGCCTTGTCGTTGACCTAGGCTTGACTTTAAGATGGTACTCCACCACGTTCGGTATGTTCGGCGTGTTGGGCACGACTGAGCCAGCGGCGGTTGACGCGCGTTGAGGGCCCTCGCTTCCGGCCCCAATCAGAGGCGCTGGTGTCGTTGATCCACCTCCACCAACGACTTCCGATGTCTAATTGCATTTTATCAAGTTGTAAACATCAGTCTACTTTCATATTTCTACAATTCGCTCCTTAAAGTCTGAATTTTATAAGCTTTATATTAATATTTTAATATAAATAACATCCGTCCGAAACCTTTATTTGTTACTATTCATATATTGTTTATTTTATCAATTTTTTTAATGTTTAAGTAATACAATTGATAAAAATTTATAATTCTTGTTGGAAGTATTTAAAAAATTATTATATACGTTGAAAAATTTGTAGTTATAAGCAGATCATATAAAATGTGAAAGTATCTCTTTGAGGTTTCGTGTAGATTTATGTTAAACGTCAATTATTATTGTTTGTAATGAGATACTACAAAAATTCTTTCTATTCTACACCTAAGGAACCAACCTTAGGTAGAGAACAGATTAGATGTCTAACGTTATGAGTTGTATTTTTGTGTGATTGTTCATTATTAACAGTGAAAACCTTCTTTAAGACATTGTCTGTCCTCTTCGCGAAACCAAAGTCCTCGTCCTCCATAGCTAGACGGTGAACGCAAAATTTGCCACTCTTTCTTGATTTCCTCTTGCCTTTTTCTCTCGTTTCTTACAACGAAGAGAAATAACAGGCTATCTGCAAATAATTTGCCAATCATGCATTATTCTCTCTCGTGCTGTCAAAGCTCTTATAATTCTTAAACAATGGAATGCAGAAGATATCTAGAATTCTTGCGATCTATAATATTTTCGCCGGGTCGCATTCTCTGAAATGTGACTTTCGTATATGAATAAACCGCGCATTTCGATGAATGGCTCGCGAATTTAGAGCAGACAAGGAGGATACACCTCGTGTCACATTGTAATTATTATTATTTGAAAGTTCGTCCGGTCGCGAAATTAAAAATGGACTTAACGTCCAAATTTAAACCGGAAAACAGCTGTCGGGCAGCACGTGTTGCACCTTGCATCGTACTGGTTCCACGAAGCCTCCTTTTCTTCCTTTCTTCCACTTCACTGCATCGAACCGTATATTTGTGCTATTTATAATAAAATCGCTCCAACAGAACCTTTATTTACCGTATTATGACGTATGAGAGAACTAATAAAATTGTGCTCTTATTATTTCGATCTTATTCTTCTTATACAATATTGCCACTTTCAACGATAATAATTACCTGCTTGTTTATTTTCTTTCTTTATAATTACTTTGCCATGAATTTTTAATATTTTGTATATTAATTTATGTACCGTAATTCCAATCCTTGTTATATAAAAAATAAATAAAAATACACAAAAAAAATTTATGCAACGGCCAGACGTTCACTGTTTTAACTTTCACTGTTCTCTGCAATACGCGTAGCGACAATGACGGGTTTTTGTCCGCGTCCCCGTGATTACATCCCGACAGCGGATGCGCGGGATGCAATTGTATCGGCGATTTTAAACGTACCGGGGGTTCTTTCAATCCACAGGAAATGAGTCAAGTGACCGATAGTCAGGTGAGGAAGAATTCATTAATGTATTCCGTCGGTTACAGGTGTGGTGTGTTTCTGTTGTTCACGCTTACACCCGCGAGAGCGTTATTTTGAAAATGCGTAATAACAAATTTCGATCTCGACGTGGGAAAATGCAGATTTAATGTTATAAAAATTACATAAATAATTATACAAATCACTAAATTAAAAAATGTTTTAAATAAATAATCTTATTCTTTTTTTATAAAACATATAATAATGCCTTCTTATATTGCTTTCGTATTAAAATATTGTAATTATCCGCCAAATGTATCAAAAATATATATTAAAAAACTTAAAATAACAGGACTTTTAATATTTAAAATACGAAATGTGATGTAAAAGGCTAATAAGAGTCAATAAACTATAAAAAGTCTTTTTATAGTTTATTGACTCTTATTAGCCTTTTACATCACATTTCGTATTTTGAATATATATTAAATAAATATTAAATTCAAAATAGTTCTATTAAGGAAATTGCTATTCAAACATACATTGCTTTTTATGATCTTTATTCGTGCACTGCAGAATATTTTTAACAAATTTTAGAAAAAAAATCTAAACAAAAAATAGCATGCAAAAGAGAAAAAGGAAATTTTATAGGACGCCCTTTACGTAGCTGTACACCTGTCGTCATGTTACACCCGCGTACAATAGCAGAACTGTTAACGCGAGCAACATACTTAACGGGTGTCTTGTAAAAACATCTTCTAAAACAAGCTTTTCTACTTTACGCACAAGTATGTCTTATCGACGCAACAGAATCGCCATCGCGTAGAACAGACGTTTGTGTGTTAAATAATTATCGTGCATATCATCTAGGAATTAGAAGACACCTCGATAAAATTAATTAGCACCCATGTGCATGTGCGTGAGCAGTAAGAAGAGAAGGTTCGGGATGCTCGATAACGGTAGCGTTAGCAGATGAAATGGAATCGTTGCTCATTATTACGGTTTCCTAGATTTCCGTTAGTCTCCTCGGCTATACCTTGCAGAATCTCGGCCTTTTATATAATAAAAGATAATAAAGAGAAGTACCAAAAAAAAAATATTCTGATGGAGCGGACAATCACGCTACTCGCAGCACGTTGGACGTCAATAACCATATATTCTCGTCGATATTCGCGCTCGTTGAAAGAAAAAAGTTGCAAACGCCGCGAAAATTTATACGACGTTTTATTTGGCCGATGATTATATCTGACAACGCAAAATCAACCAATTCCCCTTTTCATGCACGTGGTAGGGTGGGAACCGGAAACGAGCGCCGCTGGATGTCTGACCGGAAGTTATTACGGTTGTGTCACGAAGGAGTTCTAACGATGCGTGCCACGCATACGTACTCACGGAATTCGAACGGCGAAGCGGATTGAATTCGTTGAGGAAAAACCTGACGGATATAATGTCGTGCCATGATTAAATCGTTTTAGTACGAATTCCCAAAAATACAAGCATATGTCTTTTTAATCCCAATATATCAAGATTTCTGATAAAATAAGCCGGTAAAATCAAACCGTAGAAGAAATTATGCACGCAAAAAAAAAAAATCGTTCCATATGGCGTCCGATAAAAATTATCTTGTGTTTCTTATTTGCTTCATTTCGTCGATACTCATACAATATGCAACGAATAATTCAGATGGCAATGAATAACTCAAATGGCAAATTTATCGGTCTTCCATTTATCTCTTTTACGCTTCTTCATTTTTGCAATTAAAACTATTTTTCTACGGCCTGTAAAACATTGCGATAAAATATGACGTTTCATAAATGTAAACTTACAATTAGATAAAGAAGTTATCATAGAGATAAGCTATGATAAAAAATAGATATATTTTACTCATAATGACAGTTTTAACATAGTTGTACAAAATTAAAAAGAACTCTTCTTCCGAGTTCTTCATGATTTTTCAATCACATGCAAGTGATTCACTAATCATTAATTCAAAGATTATTTATTATTATTTTTTTTTCAAATAATAGCAATACAAAGTGCGTCATAATTATTGAACAATTTTATCATACCTTGCACAGTCATCATCCGCGATAAAGACGACATGTCATGTATCATGGATTAAAGATCAAATCATTGTTAGAGATATTCGACGAGAAAACGCGCAATTATTCGACTTAGAGCGATTTATCGTTCGGTGGCGCAAACGCGCATGGATGCGTACAATTTACAATTGCATAAGCATGGCAAGACGGGAGCGAAACTATCGGACGAAGAACTTACGATAGCCACGTCGAGCGCAGTACCATCGATCGTTAATTTAAACAATAGCCCCATGTTAATTACAATGATCGTCGCGAGCCGTCGGACTCGATGGAAATCGAGTTGCGGCAAGTCGCAACGCGCGACGAAACACAAACGCGATGCTCTTTATCAGAGAAATCGCAATCCATTCGGACAAAAAGATTGATCCGTAGCGATCGTGCGGAATCCTGCAACTCGCAACGCGATTCGAAAACGATCGGAAGTATTAAATATTCAAAAACGCGGCAGATTACCTTCAACTATTTACCTTCACTTTTCTGCGCTCGGCGATGGTCGACATGATTGACGAGGTCACATATACACGTAAGTACACGCGTGTACGCACGACACGTTTTAAATCGACGTAGGTTCGATGTACGTATCACCCAGGTGCAGTCAGCCGATCTCGATCTTACCGTTCGACGCACCTGCGATGAGCGACGACGGCGGTGGCTGAAAAAGCCAACGCTTCCGGAAACATCGTCGCGTCTGGCAGGACGACGGATGCGGCGACGATGCATCCGCATGCAACGGGGACCGCCGCGGCTCTGTCGAGGAAGATCTAGGAGAGGACGATTGACAGGCACCTGCGGTATGCCCTGTCGTCTACGTGCGACTGAAAATGTGGGACAGCGCGCCGCGCCGTTCGTACGTTCGTTCGGAATTGCGCTGACTGATAAAACGGAACGAGCCACGATATAGGCGTACACGCATTACGTACGTGAATGTCTCTCAATAAGGCTGGTACACCTGCAATAAACCTGAGTCGACACTGGCGATAAGGTCTGACGCCGCTGAGATTAATCGCAACCGCGACGAGGAAATGGAACATTTTTAGATTCAGTTTCTAGGGATCGCGGGATTTGAGTTCGATATCACAGAATGTATATCACACGGAATATTTAGTCACAAAAACTAAAAAAGAGTTTGATAATAGCTAAATGTTTAGTGAAATAATGCTAATTAAATGTTTGGTTAATATATGGTGATCAAAAATATTTAGGAAAGTAAAATCATTTTCAGTTATAATATTAATCAAACGTTTAATTGGTATTATTTTACTAAACATTTGGTAGCTATTACCGAAACTCTTTTTTTCAGTGCACAGAGAGCATAGTAATTTTGTGATCATTTGTAAATTATAACAATTTTTGGAATAATAATTAAATAATTTATGTCTTCAGTATATAAAATGTAGTAATAATAGGTTGCTTATTAACATTGTTGCGGAGCAACTTCCCGACGTTTAGTTTCAATTATAATCCTTATTACTTACATAATTAAAACACAATAAAGTTCATGCGACAGAAATGATGCACAACATCGTCGGAAACTTTTAATAGCGAGATACAAAATTTAGTTGTGTCTAAATTATTGTAATCCTCCGACGAGTCTACGCACCTTCTCTCAGTCTGCTCCCATTCTATCCTTCATTTCACGCAGACATCAATCGTAATCGTATTGCATAATATGACGTAATAAAATATACGTAAGATTCTTAATTAAATCAGCATTTACACCAACAATTAATATGAAACGGTACAGACACAGATGAAAACAATGCCTCTCCCGCGAAGTTATTTTTCTCTCGAGAGCTAAAAATATTAATAATGACATGCGTGTCGTAATACGCAAGTACTTATTTCTTGTATCATTGGACTTATCGTCGGCGATCAACAAATCTTCCAGGAATCTCTCGGATTCTCTTCCAGTAACTATCACTGATTCGCGATGAATTATATTATTTGATGCTCAGCGAGTGGTAAAAACGTGAGAATAACTTTCATGCTTCTTTGTTGGCATCCGGCGACAGGAAAGCAGACGCTCGGAAGTCAAGGCGTTATGAAATTACACGGGATTATACACCGCAGACAGCATCGTGCGAAGATACTGGGCCGCGAATAGCGCGAGAAATGTTCCTCCAAAACACTTCTTACATTTCTCACAAATAATACTCTATTATAATATCATTAAAAAGAAATGGAACATTTTTTAATCATCAATATGGACTTGTTAAAAAGTTCCAAGAGATTGCGGAACAATAAATTCTTTTGCTAATTGTAAAAAAATTACGTGTATATTTAAACGCTTTAAAAAAAATTATACATAATACTTAAACGCTTTTTGTGCATTCTAGACACTTTATCTTTTATTTCTAGATTCTCCTTTTCTTCTTTTTAGGCCAATAATTTCTTAACGTAAATTTAAATCAGAATTATTTTATAGCATAAACGACATGCTAATGACAAGTTATTCATAGAACGGGAGAGACATTTTTCTCGTCGGTGTTTTTCCAGCGCAGACTCGTTCGCGCGCAAAGGTAATAAACAGATCTTCCCACGGTTGTCACGTTTATTTTGTAATCGCTCCGATATCTAATTAGTTAGTAGACAGATAATTTAATTAGGAACAACAGTCTACGCCCGCGGTCTGTGGCACTCCGCATCCGCACGCAACGCGAGCTGCAATATGATCCGTGCGAAATCGGCCGTAAGAAGAGAAGGGATGCGCTCTCTTAGTGTTTGTTTCCTGTTATGCTTAAAATACATGCTATTATTGTATCTGTATATGTACAACGTAACGTTTTAGTAATATATAATCGGCAAAACGTAACGCAACGTAATCAAAAAATTACTCTATACGGTGTACAAAATGTATAAAAGAGTTTTCTTTACAAAGCTCGTATTAGTTAAATTTATAATTATATAATATTTAAAAAATTAAAAATTTCTTAAAATCTAGAATAATATGATTATGAGAATTTAAAATATAATACTTAAATAAAATACTTTTTTTTTTGCTTCAAAGGAAAAAACGATGGTGCATAATTCGTGGCGTGAGTGATCAGCGACCCATAACCGCCGGATGTCTAATTTTCCTCTGAGTTTACATGTCAATCTGGAAAAACTTGCAACTGTCAATTATCCATCGCTAATTGGCACGAAACGCGTTTCGAAAATGAAGGGGTTCGGAGCGGAAGATACTAACGCGCGTGCAGCAGAATGCAAATGAACGAGCTCGACCTCGCACAAGGTGCGACTCGCGATTCTTAATTCTGTGATATATCACAAGGTCATGTTCTTAATGTCATCATTTTATGAAGATTTTTTTCCCGAAGCAATCACTCATGTGCGCGTCTGTCGACGAAATCGTCGCAAATGTCATCGCTGTCCCACAGATCAAAAAAGCAACGAGCCATTCAATCCCTCCAGAAGAATTTTCGAAATTAAAGGTCTCAAAAGTCTTCTTCATATTGTGTAATTACATGATAATAATGGTTTGAATTCATACACACCAATATCTACCAACAGCCATTAAAGGATCTCATTAGGGGATACCAGCATCACAATACTGAAACTATAATGTCATTATGATTCGGGGTGAAAGTGTTAGTTGCCAAAACAGGAATGATGTAGATGATGTCAGATTACGCTATTGTACCATCACGAGAACTTCAAGGAGCAATAAGAGACAGAACGACGTAGATTCACATTTGTTGCATCGTGTTATGACGGACAGGCGGGAACGTTGCGCGACAACGCAACCTTGGATATATCTCGCACGATAAAAAACGAATCATTTCGGGATCCGACCTGCTGATGAGCATTTCCGTTTCGCAGAAAAATCTAAACTAAAAAAAAAAAAAGAAAAAAAAGGATCGTATCTGATTGAAGAGATCAACGCGCTGATCTTAACCCTCTTCAGCGTAGATGCACAAAACAGTAATTAACGATACGATCGCACGAGCTAAGAATATTTGATCGCTTATGTAACAAAATGATACGTCAATCATATTCTAGCGAAGTGAAAAAGCGTTGAATACTTTCAGAAACAAGAATTTGCAATCGATATATGAGTCTCTTTATTATATATCATATTTGGTTAAACGCATTAGTGTACATTAAATAGTGTATATTAAAACCGTAGTACACTGATTTAATTTGTATACAAGTAAAATGCAAATATTTCTGAAGTAAAACTCAGAATTTACTTAGCATTTTAATTAATTTTAATAGTACAATCAATTGTATTGGAAACTTCATAGTTTAATCCGTTTTTATATTTATTTTAAACACATATTTCTATATTAATTTGTGTAAGATGGCTTTAACGTGCACCAGTACGCACTGAGTGTATGCAATCGAATTTGCTGTTAAAATTTGTACTCATATAATACTAAAATAAAAAAGCAAAATATAGTCTTTTTCACTACTTGGAGATGCGAATTAAATTGCGGATTTTTTTATCGTAATTTTAATTTGCTTTCTTTAGGTGAGAACTATATTTTTATTTGCATAACTGACATTTTCCTTAGTCATTTGCAATTCTAACAGTTACCAGAATAATTAAACACATAACTCCCAAGTAAAAGTAGCTAATTCATTCAGCGTATCTTGATTGAGTAATGTAGAGTCTTTTTCAAATTAACTTAAACACTTTAAATGGACTTAATATTTTCACGAGATGGAAAGGATTTCAGCGAAGGGTTTCTTCTTGTTTCACATATGATAAAAAAATTAAGCTCTAAATAAAGCTTTATGAAAGTTTGATAAATTTCTATAAAAATTCTGATGCAAAATAAAGAAGAAATGAGAGATAAAAAATAAATAGATACCTACAACTTATTCGGAGTTTCTTCTATTTTTAGGGAGACAGAAAGAAGAGCAGGGTATCACAATGGTTCAAGTACGACGGTTACGAATATTTTCACGGGTGTTGGAGCACGAGACGATTGCATAAGAGAAGAATCTGCTGCACCACAGAAGAACATCCCTCCTTCCACCGCCCTGGGATCTTCTCTTTCTCCGTTCGTCTGATGTGGGAGCCCCAAGAAAGAGAGACTCTCAAGAATCCCCCCTTTTGTCTAGCTGATGTCTAAAGCCATATATATACCACCACCTCGTAGAACAATCCTTTAAGAAAGATACTTTGGAAGTAGCATCGCCTTACGAACTTTAAGCAAATCGAATAAGTGCGGTACACGAAAAACTAAAAGGACAGAGAACACGGAAAGATAAATGATCACCACGCACTACGACACTGCGGACTAAGGGGATCAGATTTTTCGAAAAGGCAAGCACATCACTTAATCCTCCATCTCATCTTTTTTTCACTAATTTTTATTACTTTTCGATACTTAAAAATAATTTGCATAAACACTTTAAAATTATATATTAATAAAATTAGCAAAATAAATATTTGTGAATTTAATTTTATTTCTACAAAAATATATTTCTATATATACCTTTAATTAATTCATCAATATTATAGTAATTAAATTTTCAATTCTCTAGATGATTTCGAGGTACCAGATAATCATCTGTGCTCTTTTGCTTTTTGGCGCGGTTTTACTCTATGAAACAATGGCGGTAAGTTAAAATTCGTGATAGTCTTCCAATCTTCTCGCAAATCGTTTCTCAAAATTCACAAATAATACTATGTTAAAAAAAGTTTATGAATCCATGAGAAAAATTATCTTCGTCATATAACGATTGTGCAATATGCATGACGTAGTGGTGGGAGAAATATTTCGTAAATACTCCACTTTTACAAAACCTGGCAGGGTATATTAAAATTATCATTTTCATCGTCGCTTCTCACGATGTATCGCGTAACAATAACAGCGAGTGAACCGTACCTGCACGCATCATCTTTCTCTTAAGATGGTAACATGAAGTAATTCATTAATTAATCGTCTTACACGAACATGTTCTCTCGTCCGTGTACGAAGCGCCTAGTTAGACGAAATCTATTCTTAATTTAATCTGAATGCATTCTAAGTGTAACTCATGAATAATTCCACAATGCTGAAAAGCAAATGTGTGTCATGATTTCGATATTACATTACAAAAGTAAGAAATCTCTAAAAAGAAAAATAACACATGATTAATTAGCCGCGTTGCTTTTTCTTATTTTGATTTTAAAATATTCAACATTATATAATATTAAAAAATATTTACATTTACATAATAAAATATTATAAGATATTATAAAATATTATATTAATTAATTTTAATGAAGAAAAGAAAACAATGCATAAACATTCGGAATCGTCGCGTCCGATCGTGCAATTAGCAGCTAGAAGACATATTTCACCGGAAATGATGAACGCGAAACCGATGAAAATCGGGATAGAGAATAATAAGCCGAGAAATAAAACGCAGCTTCAATGCCACGAAGCTAACAAACGGAAAGATAAGACACTTAATTAATTTATGCAATGTCTGCATTATCCTGCTTCGACTAATGCATCTTTCACCACGTTATTCTGTAATAATTCAATTATTTTTTGTACACACAAAATTCATTCATAATTTTTTTTATATATATATTATATGTATATCGGAATATATTTGGTCTATCAAATTATCTTCTTCTTTGAATTATATTATAAAATAATTTTGCTATGTTTATGCTTACATACATTTTGCTTGAACAAACGATTACAAAATTTGTATAAAATTTATATTTTATGTGTATACTTTAATTTTTTTGTCATTTTAACATAAGATAAATATATTAGAAAATAATACAGATATTATGTAAAAATTAATACAAAAAATATAACATTTTGACATAATTTGGAAATAAATTGTAGAAACTTATTTCTTCAGTAAAATTAACATTTATAATATGTTAAATTAATATGTATATTCATCTTTTATTCATCTAGAATTTATGTTTTAAAATTACATTAGTTTTTATATTATCTGGACATTAGCTAGGATTATTTTATATAATATAAGCAATATTAAATATTAAAAATTGAAACAAAATACTCAAATATCAAACTATTAATATTTATTGTATACTTTGTATACAAATCACGTTATATTAAATTAACACTCGGGCATGCTAAAAATTTAACATAAAAATTTTAACAAGGACCAATTTTAGCACAAATAAAAAAGTTTCTTACTGTGTATGCATGCATGATGGATTTGCTTAAACTTTGACACATGTCATTCCTTGGAAGTAAAAGTGCAACGTAACTAGGTGAATCACCTTTTCGGTGCCGGCTTTCTTACCACGCATTGGAGTCACCAGTTAGATTCGGCGTGTGGAGAAGGAAAAGACCATACATCTGCATACGTACACGTGAAATCGTAAACAAGAGATCGTATACAAAGCCATGGAGATGTGCATCCGTTAGGGAGGAACAATGTAACCTGACTTCCGGTCAAACATTGGCACGTGTACGCACTGAACGGTTTCGAGTCGATGCGTTGTGTCGCAACAGCCTCTTTATTTTTTCTCATTTTGACTGATGGCCAATTACGAAAACAATCCTGTATCGCGTTCTATTTCTAGTCTCAAAGTAAAGGACCGGAAAACATTGACGTATCAACGTTGTTAAATAATACCAATTAATTTAACGTTGAAAAAAAATTTATAATTTCAATGTTGTTCTAATATATTTTAATAGTTTAATCAAAATAATTGAAAAAAAAAATTTATTTAAAAATAATAAATGAGCGATTTTTATAATTTACAACATAATTAAAAGGATACTTTCATATAATCGCAGCTTTTCTTTGCATGCAGTAATTAACATACAGAAATGAAATTTATTGACATAAGTTAATTAAGACCAAATATGCGTACTCGCATTAAAGAGAGAGGAAGTCCGATTTGCAGCATATATATCCACATTCATCCCATATTCTATTGTCGAGATGATATATGTCGAAACGTATTGTTATTGTTCCAACAGAACAATAACAGTAACTCATGGTTATGCTTCTCCAAGTTCCACTGTTTTCGCTAATTGTTTCTATGCAATCGCCGAGATTTACAATGCAAATTAGAATGTGTCCCACATACAGTGTAATAATTATGTAATCACTTCGAAAACTCGTAATAAATCATTACAAGAAAGGATTCATTTCACCAAGGGAACCGATTTGTGAGCGAATTGGTAACATCTGTTAAAAAACGATAGTTATCTATGTATAATATGCATAATTACTTATGCGTTGCAGCAAGTGGATGGTTACACACCTGGCGTGGACTATCCAATTTACAATTCGGTGCCGTTCGGACTCGCGTTTACCTGTGGAGGAAAGTTACCTGGATACTATGCCGATCCCGAGGCCAGATGTCAGGTGCGTCCATATGGTCACCGAACAAACTCTCATTTCAATATTTACAGATTATTTAAATGCGTTTCATATACTTAATAAGATTCCGTTGATCTCTTTAAAAAATGCATTAAAGAAGAAAATGAAAATATTTTAAACAAATAACCTGCAGATTATTTTATAAGAATATACAAAATATTAATCGAATATTATTTAGAAAAACATAAATTTATGCTTTATTTATTTTAAAATATTGGAGAAGCACTTGAGTTAAGTTGGAAAATTTATTGTAAGATAATTTTTTTAAACATAAGATTAATATTTTACTTTTTTTTATTTTTACATTCAAGGTGTGGCATTGGTGCTTGCCAAATGGACGTCAGTTCAGTTTTCTTTGCCCGAATGGTACAGTGTTTAGTCAAACTACTCGCGTTTGTGACTGGTGGTTTAAGGTGATTTAAACTATTCAATATACATGATTTATAAATGCATACAATTATCTTGAACTAATTTCGATTCTCTTTTAATTAATTTTAATATTGCAGGTCGATTGCAATGATTCACCGAGACTTTACGGCAACAACGACGAGCTTTACAGAGATGTAAATGGAAATAAAATTTAACAACTCTTATATTTTTTACAAATAGTTGTATGTATATTAATAAACTTTTTTATATATAAGCTTTTTTCGCGAACGCGTAATACCATCGAAAGTATAACTCGGCTCATGTAAAGGAAGGTGAAAGTAATTCGCGAATCCCTAGTTTGCCGATGCAGGAAAATAACAAAGATGTCTGCTTTATTTATCGCTGTTAAATAAAATAGAATTTGCGAAAAGGATCAACATTTTTTTTGTGATTTTATAAATTGAACGATTATATTTTCACGAATTTAAACTAAAAAAGTGCTTCGTTTTTAATCGCATGTTTCTAGCGCTACATTTTGCACGAAATTTTCGAAAAGTATTCATCAAAATGTATATTGCAAAAAGAAATCGTAAATTAAAAAATACAAACCTCTTCTAACAGAGAAATTAATTGGAAAATTGTCGCGATCGAAGAAACTCTGCTGTCTGTGACAAGAGCGTTAAATTAAATTCATGTCCGACAATTTCTTGGCATGATTGGACAATAGAAAGTGAGAGCTCGTTGTGGCTGACCAGCCGAACCCCACCCTCTTCTCTATCTTTCTCTCTTAGACACTAGTACCGATGTTACAATTTTACGTTTACGGTTTGCATGCGTATCTCGTTACTCGGAACACCCATAACGTTTTAGTAATTTCGTAATTCTTTCGTAATTTCGACCTCTTGATCCAGGAATATGCTTGATTTTACAGCTCATCACGCAATCATTTTATTCGAATATTTTTGAAGATTTATTAAATTGTCAATGTAGCTTTTATTGTCATCGATTCGTTAGATTTGATTATAGATTCTTCCACATAAAAATGCATTTTTACATAAAATCCCAAGGATAACGCGATCAAAGACTATTTCATTAAATGCAGGAGGTCTTAACGTCGGCGGTAGTAAAAGTGACAGGAGAATTGATCGACTTCTACTTTTAATGCACTATTTGCGATGTCTCATCCGGTCGGTTGTACTCTGATATAAACTGAGAAGATAGGAAAATTGTAAATTAAAATATTAAATTAAAACTCAGTAGGGTGTAGCAAGATTTATATCGATGTAAGATAATTGGAGCGTGGAAAGCGCGCAGTTATGTTTGTCGAAGATAATGTTGCGTTCTCGTATTAAATAAATCAAATTAAATTATAAAAATCATTAAGGACAACAACCTTTCCACAAGCGATACAAAAAACACCGAACCTGATTTTACGTACTTCGACCTTCCGCGCGAAGAAAGCCTATGATTGCGAATAAGTATAGTAGTGAGTCGCAATTCGAGCAAAAAGAGGAAAATGGAAAAAAAACGAGGAATGAGAAGCATCGTCCTTGGTGGCCGGTGATAGAGGAAGAAAGGACTCGTCGACTTCTCGAGTGGCCAGAAAGCGTCATGGACCTCTTATAAACCTGTGACACGAGGCCAGACCCTCCTTTCTGTAGCGAGCAGGATCTTCCATTCGGCTTCGCAAATTATTGATGAAATTTCTAAATCTTTCAAGAAGAAACTTCACAGATTGAAGTCAGCTCAGTGTTCGTAATTTATTTGATTCTAGTAATTAGCAACTAAGGCAATTACATCTGCTCGGTTGACAGCAAAATTTATCTCTAGTTCATTTATCTCTAAAAGAGATAGTTTAAATCTAAAAGAGATAAGTTTATCTCTAAAAGATGAGAAACTGTAAACATTAAAGTGTCAGAATTTTTTCCTCTTTAACTAGCAGAATAAATCATATGTACATCTAAATATAAGTATTTCAAGATAAATTAGCAAGATAAATTATCGATTCGACTTTGTCTATTATAATACAAATGCAATGAATCTTTTGCCTGATGTGACATGACGTAATGTCGAGAGTATGACAATTCTTACATACAACCATTTTATAACGGTTATTACGTTCCTAAGGAAATCTTCACAGCTGTATTGTAGATGACGTATTGCTATTTTCTGTAAATGTCATTCGTCAATAAGTAGCATGCAAATTCTGCTTGTTTAATGTCATTAACGGTGCTTTAATCGCGCGATTGTCGCCTGGAGATCCGGTTACTCCCTTTGGTATCGGCAACGCTATCAACTTGATCCGCGACCCTGAAGGTAATTTATTGAAAACTCGATAACGACCGTGCGCGATTGTCTCCGTGTACGAGGATTACGAAAGATTCGCCACGGAGGAGAACCAGCTTCCTACATTTCACCAGGATTCGCCGCGGTGTCGCGATGCGCGGGATCATTACCGCTTGGAAACATCCCCGAGGCATGCGTGTCGCCTACGACTATTCTCAGCATCCTTTGTCAAGATATTAACGCCCGACGTTCCACTTTCACTCGGCTCTTCTGATTGATCTCTCATACGTATCCTTCGTGGTATGCACGCTTATAGGTTTCAGGTCAGTGACAGATGACGAAGGGACCGGCGACGGATACGGAATACCCTGAAGGCAATGAGAGACCTTTGATAGAACGCCCTCCCCCCATTCTTTAAATACAACGCAAAGCAAACGTGACAATAGGTGTCGAATACAAATGCCATAAAAATTGAACTATTCATTTAACCGATTTCATCCACTCCTATCTGTCATCTAATCGCGATTGGATCGTTCACGAAGCTCGAGCACCAGCGATACCCAACGCGCCACCCATAATTATCATGAATTATCAATTGAAGTCAAACAAATCGCGACTATATATAATCATTCACATATGTCGGTCTCGTTGTAATTACACGTCTGGGTGGTTCATTGCAAAGTATAGCCGTGGATCGATCTGGTGACTATTGCAGGCTGAAAGCAAATATCACGATTGCGTGCTGCCGCACGCAGCAATGACCTTAACAGCATCGATATCGAACCTGGGCTACAAAGCACGAGAGCGTCTCGTTCTGTCAGGTGGCGACGCAGGTGTCTTTCTACGTGCCGTGCCTGCTCGCCAAGTCTCTCATGCCTTTCTCTCCCAGTCTCTAGGTCCTTAAGCCTCCAGTGGAATTACGCCTATGCCCGGTCAGGCCCCGAAGACGCCAATGCACCGCTCGACTCCCTCCTCCAGCCTCATCGTCGGTCGTAGAAAGCTCTCAACCTGACGATGGTGGTCGGAGCGCAACGCTCCTGCTGGTGGCTTTTCCACTTCCATCGCGCAGTCTTCTGGCCGGACCGGACGCCGCGATCTCGCCCTGCACCCGCACGAAAAACTCGTCGTCTCGTCGTCTCGTCGTCTCGTCTTCGCGGTCCCACCGAAAACCGCACGGCGGGCATTTTCCGGGCGCACGTCACCGTTAGTTTTCTCCGACGAGGTGCTCGTACCTCTCATTCGTAATCGTACCGTATTTTGTGAATTTGCATTTCAAGTGCCAGTCGATGTGAGGACGGTGGGTTTCATGAGGGATTAGCGAAAAACGAGCGGAGCCGAGAGAGACAGGTTTGATCGCCTTTTCATCTGTTTGCGTTGTGCGCTCCGAATTATGTTCTCCACTCTCGCTGGAGCTGCGTAATCGAGAAGACCGAAATGAAATTCTGAAATTCTGACGGATTTTAATTTTTTTTTTTTTATTTCGGAGTAAGGCTCTCGCAGCTATTGATCTTGCGAAATTTTCGTAACGTTGAAATTTTCATAACGTTAAACGTTTGTTTGTACAAAACGTTTGTACCTATCCTACGGTGAAACGCACTATATGTACCTACATGTTTTATTAATTTCCAGCGTTATATCGGATACTTGTGCGCTCCTCGAAAGCAAAGAAAGCGAAGCGCCACGACATTTCGTCGAATTTAATGAAATTTGTATAATGAAATTTGTTACCTCACCGACCCTAATTACAGTGTTTATTTGGAAGGAGCTCTCAACTCCAGCCTGCAGTCAAAATATCATTGTTCTCTTGCGACAGTTCATGCACGTCAGTCTGAGATAGCTTTAAAGAAAAAAGTTTCGAGGCATTCGTCACTCTAAAAATGCTGCATCTTCATTATTTATTAGTTATACAAATAAAGTAATAAACTGCCACAAAGTATAAATAATATGCGGCTGGTGGTTCAGATTCATCTGAGTGAACAGAGAAAAGGATCTATAAAAATGAGGAACGCGAGCATTAAAGCGAGTCGCTTCGAAGACTGCAATAAAGACAGGACTTTCGCTACTTGTCGCATCCTGTGCGCCTTCCTGCCCCGTCTCGTCGTTTTTTGCATCTCGGTAGCAATGACAACGAGAGCAAACTGGTTTTATCACTGAATTTTGCCAAGTCCGATCACTCTCCTCGAATACGTTTCCGCTCGAACGAGTCGGCGCGAAATCGAAAGGGTCGCGCGAAATTCCACTCAAAATAGCGCGCGATAACGCAATTTTCTTTGCGTAATGTTTTCCAACGCAAGTAGTCGAGCGAATATCGTTCCAGCGAAGTCACGAATTTCTAATCTGCTCGTCGGGAATCGCGAGTATAACGAGAAGAGAGTTCGTTCGGCTTAAAGACGGTATACTCGGTCGCCGCACACGTGTGCACACACTCATGCATCCTCCGCACACATCGTAACGACACGCACGCATCGAGTACGCACGCTCGCTCCTTGAATCTTATTCCCGCTGAAAACTTTCGTCGGTCTTACGGTAATTTATTCGTTTTACCAGCAGGAAATAAATCATATCCTGCAATGAAATTGCGGGGAAAAAAGTTTTCGTTCGAAAAGGAACTCTGACAAAAGATATGTAAGTAGGTGAGCGAAATAATTAGCTAATTTGTAATCCCCTCTCCTACTTCCCACGTAAATGTTAATACGTTAATTATTGAAGTCTCTCGCCGTTTGCATGAGAAAACTTTGAACTGATATAATAGCTTCATCGGTTTATAGAGTAAAACATTTCTCGAACGCCTTAACTTTCAATCGAATCACGATAGCGTTCGCATTCGTTGCGTTTTTATTGTGAGTTTATCTAAATCAAGAATTCTCACCTCGACACTACTTCATCGATTAGGCGGAATATGTTTTCCGTAACCTCGAATGGTATCCCAATCGACCGTTCTCTCTCTGTCTCTTTCTTTCTCGCTCTTTCTCTCCCTGTCTCTCTTTACCTGTGTAATTCATCGCCTCGCTCCGTCCAATGCGTTCTAACGCGTCCACGTTCACTTTCAATCGGTGGATTCCGCGAGGCGATTGTACACACGTTTGAAAGTGAATTTAATTTACGCGAGAAGCGCGTTAGACGCGACACGCC